CACCCCAGGTTCTGAATCTCTCTTGCTCTGTTTAATCTGCAGTGGCTTCTGTCGCCTTGCCTTGCACGGTGGCCTGGGGATGCTAGCATGCCCTCCATGGAGGAAAGAAGCCCTTGTCGGGCTTCATACGGCACCACCCACCATGGAGCAGCCAGGCCGCACTGAGCTAATCCAACATGGCATGAGGCCTTGTAGGACTAATTCAAGCTCAGCCCTACAAAGGCTGATGCACACACATTTTCTCTTCTCTGAGTGAAGCCGGAGCATCCCTTTGGTCTCATGCGCTAGTAATCCCACTACAAAACGCGCCTGGCTGAGCGCATGCCGTGGAACTTTGTTCTTGGCAAAGGAGCACAGGCCACCCTCCAGGAGGCCGCCAGCCTTGGGGTACCTCCTGGAACCCTGATGGGCACAGGCCTCCAAATGGGGGAGGGGACGGGAAGGTCACCCAGCATTCTGGGTACAGCCCTCCCACTGCCTTGACCTTGGCAAAGTCACTTTATCTCACAAGGTCACGAGGCCCAGAATCAGAGCCAGACTCGGTAGGGTGGTGTCTTCAGTAAGGCTGGAGAGTCAGCGGAGTGACAGGATGCGGCCCCCACGAGTGTGCTCTGACCCCAGACCTCGCAGAGTCCATGGCCTGGCCCTCAGGCCCTCTGCTGCCACCAGCCCGGGAAGCTGACCTCCCACCTCATTCTAGGACCCTTCTGAACACACAGTCGGTGCTCAGCCACGCTCAGCGGCTCTCAGCAGGTAGGGTCAGCCTGTGACCTGCCAGGCTCCCCTCTCCCCAGATCCAGCCCTGCCTCTAGGCCTGTGCTCAGCAGGGGAGACAGGAAGCCAGCTTGGAGTCCTACCAGCTGTGGTTTGTGTGATTTTTAGTTCCCATTTTAAAAACAAACCAACAAAATCAGCACTAATGACATCAAGAGCAGCCCAAACCTTCTGCCTCAAGGGGCTGCAGGGGCTCAGGAAGCACCCAGAAGGGCCAAGGCCACTCTCCTTTCCCAAAAAGCTACGCTGGGTTTATAAAAATGCTGTGAGAAAGGACAGCAGTGAATTAGCCTATGTTTTAAAGCCCCCAAATTCCACCAACACTTAGGCAAACCCCACCCCACACATAAAAGGGGATCTGACCAAAAGGAGATAACAGTGAAAATTCAGCCAGACCACAGTTCTCAACTGGGCCTATCTTGTCCCCGGGGACACTGGGCCATGTCTGGGGACATTAGTGGGTGTCATGACTGGGGGTGCTCCTGGCATTGAGGGGGGCAGTGACAGATGATGCTCAGCCCCCCACAGTGCCCAGGATTGCTCCACAGAGGATGACCTGGCCCGATGTCTGCAATGCTGAAGGGCTGGGGGCAAACTGGACCGAAAGGCCAACATCTGAGGGACACGATGCCTGCCAAATGCAGTGTCGCACACACGGTGCTCTCAAACTTCTCCCATTTTGTGCTGGGACAGCTCTAAGAAGAGGTGCCGCTTTATAGATGGGAGAGCACAGGCCCAACCCCCCAGGGGCTGAGGGGCTGGGACTCAACACCCTCACCCCTGGCCCGGGAGGGTGCAGGCAGCCATGCGCGACGCTTCCTCTGGCATACAGATGGAAGGACAATGCTGGTGAAGGGGCTCAGAAAGGAGAGCCGCCCTGGAAAGCAAATACATCTTAACCAGCCGGTGAGCACAGGGTAGCCCAGCCCTCTGGCAACTGCATGGGGCCCAAGGGGACTCCCTCCTGGAGCTCTGGCCAGAGGCCTATTTTCTCTGGGATTTTCTGGCCAAGAGGAACCTCTCTGGCCTGCAGGGCCTGCCTTGCACCCAAGCCTGGGCTTCTGGCTCTGTTGTGGGGAGGTTGGGTCAGCAATGCCGGGCAGGTGGGCAGCAGCCACATACTGGGGGCGTCTGGCCTGGCCTGCTTGGCAGCCACAGCGACCAGCATGCTCTCAGGCCAGCCAGAGCTCCAGAGGCAGCAGCCATGGCTCTGGGCTGGGGGGCCAACCAGTTTGAGGGAGCAGCCCTGCCCCTTCCAGCAGAGACCCTGGGCTGGGAAAGGGCAATAGAGGTGACTACGGTGCCCAGCTGTGCGGAGCTGGTGGGACAAGGCAGTGCCCATACCGCCTTTTCTCTAGACCAGGGGCAGCAAACTTTCCTCATAATGGCCAAAGGCAAGTATTTTCAGCTTTGCAGGCAGGCTGGTCTCCATGCAGGTGACAGCAGCCAGACAGCAAGCCAATCAATGGGTGTGGCTGTATGCCATAAAACTTCATTCATTATGAACATGAAACGCAAGTTTCATCTAATTGTCACGTCACATGTTCTTTTTTCTCCAGTCTTACAAAATGTAATGACCATTCTCAGTCTGCAGACCCTACAAGAAGACAGCCTGCCTAGTTTGTCCTGGGGTCATTTCCTGACCCTGTTCTATGGTAGGGAGGGAGGGGGCCCTTCCTGGGGGCCTGGAGAAGGATACAAAACCAACACATTAAAAAGTCCCTAAAATCTGCAAAGTGGAACTTCTCCCCCCATAATCTTCTGAGGAAAGTGCTAGAAGGAACAGGCCCAAAACAGATGGGAGTCAGCTCAGGCAGCAGGAGGAGCCCTTGCTCAGCAGGAAAAGGAATCCTGGGAGGTGCCCGCTCCCCGGCCTCGAGCCCCTGAAATCTGGCTAAGGACACGGCAGTCCCTGAGCGCCATCTGACCCGGACAATACCCTCTCCAGGCCCCAGCTGGGTATCAGTAAGGCAGGTGCCTTGGTGGCCTCTCCAGCCTGGCCTAGTTACAGAGAGAACGGAGCCACTGTGAGTCAGGATCTGCTGCCCCGTTTCATACCAAGGAGCCTGAGAGCTGACGTCCAGGACCACCACGCACGGCAGCCCCATGGCCAATGATCACTCTCCGGTTGAAATCCTCACTTTCCTACCACAGGGCCCCGCAGCTGGGGTCAGCCCCAAGAGGGAGTATCGTGCGGTGCCGGGACGCCTGCCCGAACCACAGCCTGTGCAGAGCCCTGCACGCCACTTGCTCAGTAATTTCACGCTACACCGCCCTGCAATGTAAGCATGGGGGTCCACTGTAGGCAGCACTTCCCAAATGTCACTTGTTTGTGAACACATGGCTGAACCCAAAATTGCTTTTAATATCTGGGCAGTCCCCGCCGGCCCCACTGCAGCTTTGGCCCTGACAGCTCCTGCAGGACAAGCCCACGATCTTGTCTGGGGCTTACAGCTCAACTGCAGCTCCCACATGGCTGGGCTGCTACACAGCACACCCGGGTCCCTCAGATTCTGCTTCGAGTCTTACCGTCCACGGGGCCCCGCAGTAACACAGACGAAACCACACGCCCAGGACATCTAATTGTTCCTTTACATCAAAAGGGGGAATCCTGACATCCACGGCTCCCCTCTTTTAGGGAAGCCCCACGTCTCCACCAAACACCATCCCATCATGATTCTCTGAATTAAATATAAATGTTCCAATGCTTTGAAGCCCCCAGGGCCCCTCTCCGGTCTTCCTTCATACAAAGCCCATTTCCTTCTCTAAACTGCACTGAAACAATGAGGCTGGAAAAACAGATAATTGGAAAAAGAAAGGTCAGCCAATTCATCCAGACCAGCACTGCCCAGTAGAAATTTAACACAAGCCACCTCCGTTATCTTACTTTTTCTAGTCATCACATTCAAAATGTGAACAGAAGCACGTGACATTCACTTCAGTAATCGGTTTAACCTGGTCTCTAGGTAACCAGTCTAGGTGACCAGCAGAAGCACATTATTTGTGCGATACCCCATGGGATACTCCGTGTTGCCATGTGCCGAGCCTTGGACAGGGTGTGTGCTTTATACTCACAGCTCATCTCTGCACTGGCAAGCCATGGTTCACAGCCATGACACCCACACGTGGCCGGTAGCCACAATACTGGTCACCACGGCTTAGGCCCCCTTTCGCAGAGGTCTGAGGTTTGGACAATGAACTGGATCTGGGGGCTAGGCCCTCCTGCTCTGGCCCCTGCTGCCAGGTCTGGTGAGAAATCCACTGTAGGCCCCAATCCTGGGCCCTGAGCAATTCCTCGGAGGAACCCCGGCTCTAACTCAGGAGGGTGGCCCAGCGTCCTGGCCCAGCTGGAGGGGATGCTCCTAACGCCAGAGTGAGACATGGAGGTGGCTTGTGTTATCTTTCTCCTGGGCAGTGAGGGGCCTGTCTCTGTGGCACACAGCAAAGGCTAGAGGGGCTGATCCCTCAGCAAAGCCTGAGCCCAGCCTGACGGGTAGAGCTGTCTGCCTCCTTCCCTGCAGGCTACAGTGACAGTCCTGGGAGCAACAGTCCTGGGCACAGGCAACTGGGAGGGCTGGGCCTGCTCCCATGGACAGCCCCCCAGGGCTGCTGCCCTGGCCAAGTTCCACCTCTGCCCCATCTGGAGCGTGTACTGTCTCAGCAGCCGTGGGCATGTACTGTCACCTGGACCTCCACAGCCACCTTGGGCTGCAGAGGGAGGCGGGCAACTGGCCCCTGCCTTGCCCCCTAGGCTCCATTACACTTGCCACCACAGGGCCTCGCCACTCTACAGTCTGCCAGTCACCACCACACAGATGGGTGCGTGCAGAGAGAGCTAAGGGAACTGAGGACAAGCTCTCAGTTCAGACATCAAATGTGCTGACCCTCTGTGGACAGAAACAGCAAATTCCTGGGAAAGAATCAGGGCCATTGCCTTTCAGTGAAGCCCCCAGGTCTAGAGAGCAGGGGTCCACCAGGAGAGTGGCCCAGGCACCATGCTGCCCCATGTCCAGCCCACCTGCTCCTTGCCTCCCCGACTCCACAGTTCCTCCGGGTGAAGAACCTTCTGGGGACAAGTTCACTGAGGATCCCAGAAACAGACCCTGAAGGAGAGGCCAGGCCCCTAGCCAAGTAGAAATGGCCACAGTGCAGGGCCTGGGCTGAGGGAACAGGCAGGGAGGGCTCGGCCCCCATTTAGACCTTTTCACAGAGTCTGAGGCACTCACCTGAGTGGCCACCTTGCCGTAATCAATCCACCGCAGGGTGGCAAAGTTGGTCGATTCTGCACAGTTGAATCCGTGATTGAATCCAGCATGGTAGCCGTAGGGAAATGTGATCATGAATTCCCCAGCCTCCTGCGTGATCTGAGGAGGAAAAGGCCGACAGGTGAGGGGAGAGGCAGTTACTGGAGCAGGACGTAGTCTGTGTGGGATACAGTGAGTCCTGAGAAATACATAGCTGGTCCTACATATGACCAAATGTGTACTTTCCAGGATCTGTGGCCGTCATCCACAGTTCCTGAAGACACTTAAAGGTGAAGTGGGTGTCCTGTCCTGTTAACAAGGACTTTTGGATCCACCTAAGGGCGGGGGCTGGAGGTTGACTCAGCCATTGGCCAATGATTTAGTCAATCAAGACCAATGAAGCCCTCAGAACAACCCCTGGGAGGAGCACATCTCCAGGGATCTCCTCACCAGGATGTTCATTGATATCCTCTTTGGCACCTTTGTTAAACCGGGAAGTGTGTTTTCTCTGAGCCCCTCCAGGAAAGTAATCGAACCCAAGGGGGAGGTCGAGGGAACCTCCAGTCTGTAGCGGGTAGGTCAGAAGCACAGGGAACTGCCTGGGGCTGGTGACCAGCATCTGGAGTGGGGGGTGGAGGGCAGTCCTGTAGACGGAGCCCTGAACCTGGGGAATCTGGTGCTGTCTCCGGCCAGATAGCGTCAGAATCGAGGTGCGTTCTCAGACCCCTGCTGGCCCTGAGAATAGACTGATGTCTGGTGAGGGAAGACACCCACCCCCCACCCACACACTGGAATCCTCCAGGACCAGAAATGAGCTACCCTGAGGGAATGCAGCATGGAAGGGGAGGTGCCTGCTGGAAGCAACGGGAGCCACCACAGGTACAGCGCCGGGACGTGGCCTTGAAGGTTTCCCAAGTCCCAGGGAGCCCAGACTTGAGGAGCTGATGGGTTCCGCCCAGGGAAAGGTACTTCTGCCTAACACGGGCTCCACCTGGCTACAAAGTAGCATGGCGGCGCCAGCAGCTCTGCCACGCCCCACCGCCCACCACGGCCCTGTCAGGGAAAGGGCACAGGCCCAGCTGGCACTCTCCAGGGGGAGCTGCAGAAGCAGAGGGACCCCGAAGGCTACACCTCCAGGGGCTTGTCTGAGGCCCCGCCGAGGCCTTCTGCCACGCAGTCCCCACGCCGCGGTGCTTCTGCTGCGGTGGAGTACGAGTCTTTCTAAGTTGCTCTAAAGGACTCTTAGGGTCTGCGCTCCTGTGTCTCTCCCTGGGTGCGTCCTCACAGGCCCTTTGTCCCGTGTGCGCGCCATGCATTCAAAGGGTATTTCTTCCCTTGTGTGGATAGATCACTACGTATCTGCTTTCCTGCTGACAGACTAGGGTGTGTCAGGTTTGGGGCTCCGGAGGGCCCCTGGGGACACATGTCTGCATGCCTCTAAGAACACGTGCAGACAGAGAAGGGGTGCCGAGGGGTCTCAGGTTGGGTATGCAGTTAAGTTTGTAAGAAACTGTGTGATGGTTTTGGCACTGGCTGCGCCGTTTTGCATCCACACTCATGGCAAGTAAGTCCCCAAGCTCCTGTCTCAGCGGCGTTTGCGGTGTTTGGTTTTCACCATCCCACTGGTGGGCAGTGGTGTGCCCTTTGCTCTGATGGCTTCTCTCTGCAACTACAGACGCAGGTCAACACGGCATGTCGGTTCACGCTGATTTGTAGGCGTCTTGGTCCCGCTAATCTTTATTCCTCCAGAGAGATGAGTAGAAATTGCTGGGTTTGTTTAAGTAGCTCACAAGAAGTCAAACCCCGCAGGGGCAGAGGGGGGTGGGAGGGATGGGAGATGGGGGCTGAGACGTCCAGAAACCAACCACAGAGTCAAAGATCAATCAAAGCTGACACAGCCTGGAGAAAAGCCAGTCCTTAAGAACGTTAAGATATTTTTCTTTTCAAATAATGAAGTGCACCAATCAAGGGAAGTCAGAGTGCATTAAGTTTTATTTTTAAATTTCTGTCCAAGTGACAGCCGTGTGCGGGGAATGAAGTGCATGTCAGCAGATGGGGTGGGCAGAGAACACTCGAATGTCCCCACGACCCAGCACCCTCCCATCCACGGTGAGGCGTCACTGCACTGGCTTCTGCCACGGGACTCGCAGCTCTGGGAAACAGGTGGCAAAATTAAAATTTAAGGATGTTTTTTAATGCAATTACTGATTTTCTCATCCAGTTGAGCTGCCTCTGGAAAGTACTATCTTGCTCTTCCTCCAGCGCCAACGGGCCTGCCCCACTTCCTCCACCAGGACGTGGGTGGGTTCAGCCCAGAACTGAGCCTGAAGGCACAAGGCGTGGCACGAACTCAGAGCCTTCCCGGGATGCAGCTGGGCCCCTGTGAGGCCAGGTCTGGGACCCCAGCATGGGGTGCCTCCACCGCAGGCCCCCTCAGCATGACGCCTCACACAAGCCAAGGTCGAGCCCAGAAGATGGACTGGGGACAAGAAGAAGATTATGTTCCTGTCGGAAAATCTACATCCTGGAGGCCCCCATCAGGAGCTCACTGTGTCTGTCCTCCACGTCACCATTACCCTGACAGTAAATCAGAAGGTGCCTGGGATGATGGACAGGCCGGGAGGCAGAGTAACAAGCAGAGAAGGGCGTGGCCGCCCCGACGCCCACCAGGGAGAGAGCCCAGAATTCGGTTTCTTCTGTGAGCTCTTTCAGAATACATGAGGAAGTCAATGGCAGATTACAGAAATACACACTTTTAATTATTAAAAAGCTCTGCTATTGATCTGCTTTTCCTTCTAGAAGTAAATACCATTACAAAGGTTTATAAGTGGAGTGCAGGGAGTCACTCTTTTGAAGGCTGCCCGGAATTCAGATGAGGGGATCCAGTGGAACCCTGAAAGGGGCACTCATCTGGGGCCCCATGTTGCTCCCCGCTGGCTGGACAAAGGCCTTCGCCCCACAGGTCTGGGCAAAGCCACAGGAAGGCGGGGCTGCTGTGAGCAAGGCCTCCCAGAGCGCCAGAAGCCCCTCCCAGCCACCAGGCCACGGCCATGGGCCACAGTCAGGTGCTTCCTACGCAAACTGCAGTGCCTGGCAGACACTGATGCAGGAGAGGCGGGCAACCGCGAGCCGACTCCCGCCACCAGCAAGGCTCCCTAGGAAGCTGAGCTTTGGAGAATGCTCTTGACAAACCCCTAGACAGCACATACTTCTCACTCGCTTGAACAAAGCTGTGGTCTGTCTGCCAGGTTCCTGATAATGCTGGTGTTCAAACCAGAGGACAGTCAGGGAAGGTAAAACATGGGAAGCTGGATTTTTGAGACTACATCCCTCTCTCTGCTAGGTGAGCGGCGGCTGGGAGGCGCCTCCTGGCAGTGGCCCCTACAGAAAGAGCAAATCCCCCATCCGTGCTAATGCCACAGGCGGTTTGACTGAAATGTCAGAACCAACTTCCTTGAGCCCCTCCAGGAAAGTAATCGAACCCAAGGGGGAGGTCGAGGGAACCTCCAGTCTGTAGCGGGTAGGTCAGAAGCACAGGGAACTGCCTGGGGCTGGTGACCAGCATCTGGAGTGGGGGGTGGAGGGCAGTCCTGTAGGACTGAGCCCTGAACCTGGGGAATCTGGTGCTGTCTCCGGCCAGATAGCGTCAGAATCGAGGTGCGTTCTCAGACCCCTGCTGGCCCTGAGAATAGACTGATGTCCTGTGAGGGAAGACACCCACCCCCCACCCACACACTGGAATCCTCCAGGACCAGAAATGAGCTACCCTGAGGGAATGCAGCATGGAAGGGGAGGTGCCTGCTGGAAGCAACGGGAGCCACCACAGGTACAGCGCCGGGACGTGGCCTTGAAGGTTTCCCAAGTCCCAGGGAGCCCAGACTTGAGGAGCTGATGGGTTCCGCCCAGGGAAAGGTACTTCTGCCTAACACGGGCTCCACCTGGCTACAAAGTAGCATGGCGGCGCCAGCAGCTCTGCCACGCCCCACCGCCCACCACGGCCCTGTCAGGGAAAGGGCACAGGCCCAGCTGGCACTCTCCAGGGGGAGCTGCAGAAGCAGAGGGACCCCGAAGGCTACACCTCCAGGGGCTTGTCTGAAGCCCCGCCGAGGCCTTCTGCCACGCAGTCCCCACGCCGCGGTGCTTCTGCTGCGGTGGAGTACGAGTCTTTCTAAGTTGCTCTAAAGGACTCTTAGGGTCTGCGCTCCTGTGTCTCTCCCTGGGTGCGTCCTCACAGGCCCTTTGTCCCGTGTGCGCGCCATGCATTCAAAGGGTATTTCTTCCCTTGTGTGGATAGATCACTACGTATCTGCTTTCCTGCTGACAGACTAGGGTGTGTCAGGTTTGGGGCTCCGGAGGGCCCCTGGGGACACATGTCTGCATGCCTCTAAGAACACATGCAGACACAGAAGGGGTGCCGAGGGGTCTCAGGTTGGGTATGCAGTTAAGTTTGTAAGAAACTGTGTGATGGTTTTGGCACTGGCTGCGCCGTTTTGCATCCACACTCATGGCAAGTAAGTCCCCAAGCTCCTGTCTCAGCGGCGTTTGCGGTGTTTGGTTTTCGCCATCCCACTGGTGGGCAGTGGTGTGCCCTTTGCTCTGATGGCTTCTCTCTGCAACTACAGACGCAGGTCAACACGGCATGTCGGTTCACGCTGATCTGTAGGCGTCTTGGTCCCGCTAATCTTTATTCCTCCAGAGAGATGAGTAGAAATTGCTGGGTTTGTTTAAGTAGCTCACAAGAAGTCAAACCCCGCAGGGGCAGAGGGGGGTAGGGGGGATGGGAGATGGGGGCTGAGACGTCCAGAAACCAACCACAGAGTCAAAGATCAATCAAAGCTGACACAGCCTGGAGAAAAGCCAGTCCTTAAGAACGTTAAGATATTTTTCTTTTCAAATAATGAAGTGCACCAATCAAGGGAAGTCAGAGTGCATTAAGTTTTATTTTTAAATTTCTGTCCAAGTGACAGCCGTGTGCGGGGAATGAAGTGCATGTCAGCAGATGGGGTGGGCAGAGAACACTCGAATGTCCCCACGACCCAGCACCCTCCCATCCACGGTGAGGCGTCACTGCACTGGCTTCTGCCACGGGACTCGCAGCTCTGGGAAACAGGTGGCAAAATTAAAATTTAAGGATGTTTTTTAATGCAATTACTGATTTTCTCATCCAGTTGAGCTGCCTCTGGAAAGTACTATCTTGCTCTTCCTCCAGCGCCAACGGGCCTGCCCCACTTCCTCCACCAGGACGTGGGTGGGTTCAGCCCAGAACTGAGCCTGAAGGCACAAGGCGTGGCACGAACTCAGAGCCTTCCCGGGATGCAGCTGGGCCCCTGTGAGGCCAGGTCTGAGACCCCAGCATGGGGTGCCTCCACCGCAGGCCCCCTCAGCATGACGCCTCACACAAGCCAAGGTCGAGCCCAGAAGATGGACTGGGGACAAGAAGAAGATTATGTTCCTGTGGGAAAATCTACATCCTGGAGGCCCCCATCAGGAGCTCACTGTGTCTGTCCTCCACGTCACCATTACCCTGACAGTAAATCAGAAGGTGCCTGGGATGATGGACAGGCCGGGAGGCAGAGTAACAAGCAGAGAAGGGCGTGGCCGCCCCGACGCCCACCAGGGAGAGAGCCCAGAATTCGGTTTCTTCTGTGAGCTCTTTCAGAATACATGAGGAAGTCAATGGCAGATTACAGAAATACACACTTTTAATTATTAAAAAGCTCTGCTATTGATCTGCTTTTCCTTCTAGAAGTAAATACCATTACAAAGGTTTATAAGTGGAGTGCAGGGAGTCACTCTTTTGAAGGCTGCCCGGAATTCAGATGAGGGGATCCAGTGGAACCCTGAAAGGGGCACTCATCTGGGGCCCCATGTTGCTCCCCGCTGGCTGGACAAAGGCCTTCGCCCCACAGGTCTGGGCAAAGCCACAGGAAGGCGGGGCTGCTGTGAGCAAGGCCTCCCAGAGCGCCAGAAGCCCCTCCCAGCCACCAGGCCACGGCCATGGGCCACAGTCAGGTGCTTCCTACGCAAACTGCAGTGCCTGGCAGACACTGATGCAGGAGAGGCGGGCAACCGCGAGCCGACTCCCGCCACCAGCAAGGCTCCCTAGGAAGCTGAGCTTTGGAGAATGCTCTTGACAAACCCCTAGACAGCACATACTTCTCACTCGCTTGAACAAAGCTGTGGTCTGTCTGCCAGGTTCCTGATAATGCTGGTGTTCAAACCAGAGGACAGTCAGGGAAGGTAAAACATGGGAAGCTGGATTTTTGAGACTACATCCCTCTCTCTGCTAGGTGAGCGGCGGCTGGGAGGCGCCTCCTGGCAGTGGCCCCTACAGAAAGAGCAAATCCCCCATCCGTGCTAATGCCACAGGCGGTTTGACTGAAATGTCAGAACCAACTTCCAACTTGCTGACACTCCCAGCAAGAGCGAGGCAGAGGGTCTAATCGCAGAACTTGCTCCCGAGTCCGACAAATTGCTCTTTGGGGAAACCAGGTTCCCGGGAAGGTCCACCTCCCCCAGCCTGCCCTCAGTGCCCGGCCCAGAGTCGCGCAGGCTCTGTTCTGGGCATGTGCCTCTTCCCTGGATCCCTTTGGGGACACAGGCCTAGACTCTGCTGTCCAGGAGAAGTGACCTCGGGGAAGGAATTGCCTGGAGTAGGTGGGTGCTGGCCAGTCACCAGGGCAGAGCCATCTCCTGGCCCAGGCGCGCCCACAAGCCCCACTGGGGGCTCAAACCCAAGGTGCTCACTGACCTGGCCCTGGGACACCACCCGCCGGCATCCACAGGGCAGAGGGTTCCTGTCGCCAGCTTCCCTGGCTTCAGGTCTCATCCATCAGAGCCCTGTGGGGACAAGCCAAACAGCCCCTGGGGTGGTGAACTGACTGAGTCCATGGTCTTCACCCTGCAGGAGGTATTTCACTTCTAACCAGGTACTTGTTCTCTCAAAGGACACCTACCCTAGGCCGTGGGGCAGGGCCAGAGATTAGGGCAAAGGGGACAGGGGAAGCCTGGCCCCAGGGAGGGGTGGGGCTGCCTTGGTTCTGGGAAGGAACCCTGACTGACAGGACACCCCAGAGGGTGGCCACAGCCCACCAGGCAGAGGATGGGTGGATTTGGGTTGGGATGGCAGGGAGGGGAGTTAAGACCCCACCTGCTTCTCCACCCTTCCAGCCTCACCTCCCAGCACAGGAGAGTTGACCTCCCAGCCGACATGGCTTGCCTTTGCTCTAGAACCTTCTCCAGGGGAGGGAAGCCAGTTTCCTGGGCCCAGGAGTCCCTCCATGAGCAGGCAGTCAGGCCAGCCCCTACGTACCCGGCTGAATGGGATGCCGTACTTCTTGAGGATGATGGGAGAGATGAGTGTCATCTTGTGCCGCAGGAAGGCGTCGCAGCCCTGGGAGCTCCCGGGGAAGAACCCTGCGGCAGAAGAGGTGCGTCAGTCTGGTCGGAGCAGGGAGCACGGTCCCTGCGGCTCCGAGGGAACAAAATGCACTGTCATGCAGACTGTGCGCCCTACTGGCAGGGTCCTCAGCCCTCTGGTGCAGCTGAAGCAGAGGACAGGCTGGGGCTGTGTGACAAGGTGTGCCCACGGCATGTGCTCCTGGTCACAGATAGGGCGCGGCTGCTCAGACTGCCCCTCCGAGCTCCCCCAGGCAAGACCCGGTACCTGGCCAATGAGAGGGCGCAGCCAGGAGGCAGGACATGGGAGCTGATGTTTAAGAACCAGCCAAACTGTGAGCGGTGCCTGCCCCACACTGTGACAAGCCTGCAACACAGGGAAGCCCCAAGTGGCATGGCCTCTGCGCACACACAGGCCCCAAGGCCACCAGGCGGGTGGTGACCGAGGCTCGGGCTGCTGACCATTCTCCATGTGGCTCCCAGTCCGGCAGGGGACCGGCAGAGCACCCAAGCCCCTGAACTGGCCCTGTGAGAAGCATGGCAGCTGGTGCTCACACTGGGGCAGGCCTCTCCTAGCGTGTACCACACAACTGACTCAGAGTAACAGAACACAGGCAGTCAGCCCTACCTGCTCAGACACTGGGCCACAGCTCAGGGATGGTTCCCAATCACTTGTTGGCTGAAGCTCAAATCAGTAACATGCACACAGTGTCGTTAAAGAAACGCAAGCCCTGGGGTTTCATCCGACAGCCAGCCCTATGCCCCACCATCGCCGAGAGGCAGCCAAGGGCTGCAGCAGGATCCAGCGAGGCCCAAGGCTGGCAGTGCTGGCGGCTGCTCCCAAGTGTCCACCTCCCTCCGGGGGTGCTGACCTTGGGCCCCGGCCTCCAGGTCAGGGCACACACTCCGTGGGTCACCAGTTAGGGAGGCCACATTCGTGTGTGCATGTGAGCACATGACCCCACATACACTGACTGGGGCAGGGGGGCGTCAATGCGCTCCATGCAGGAGTAGGTACCTGGCTGCAAGGACACCACGGTGAGGCTCTGCAAATGCAGGAATACTGAATCCAGCAACTTCCCTCCACACTAAAAGCATTTCAATTAGAGTTACGGCCGCCTGCCGCCCGGCCCGCCAGCCTCCGCAGTTCCTCTTTTTAATGCACAGTTTAAGTGGCTCTCATTAAAGCTCTAATAAAGGCGCACATTTTAAGTGATTAGCACCAATAACGCGCCAACACATTAATGTGCTCTCCGTGGGCTCCACAACTCTCCCAGCGAGCCCATTTTGAACGCAGCTATTCATTTTCCATATTAATGGCAAACTCCATCCACCCATCTCAGCAATGGCGTCTGCAACGCATGCCCCCAAAAAAGTCTTGTAAGGGACAAACACAAGGCAGTGATTCACTTTCCCTGGAATGTCCCCCATCCTCCCTCCGAGGAGGGGAGCAGAAGCTGAGCGCAGGGCACAGCAAGCATGAGGCCGCTACGTGCTAGTGCCCCGCCTCCCGCCCTCCTCCGGGGAGGCCAGCCAGCATCCCCCATCCCTGAAGTGGGGACCCCCATCCCTGAAGCGGGGACGGCAGCCTCCCGGCCACCTCACTCTTGCTCTCCCAGCCGGCTGCTACACCACCCGCATGAGTCCAGAATGGAAGCCGGGGCGCCTGGGGAGCAGGCAGGGCCTACCTGCAGGAATGGTGCAGAGGGCACAGGCCAAGTCCATGGAGAACGGCCAGGGCACCACCAGGGCAGTTGGGGCTCCTCTAGTGGGCGCTCAGATCGCCCCAAACTTTATTAGTAGAAAACGCACACAGAGTGAGAAGAGGCTAGGCGTGGCCAGTGTGCCCAGGAGGAGCAGAATTGCTGTCTGCAGGGGTTGGGCGATGCCAGCAACCTGGTCACCAGCAAGTGCCTGTGCTGAGCACTCGGTGCTTCCTTCA